TACCATCATTACCATATGGGTATGTTGTCATGGCTGGTGCACAACAGATTATAGTAAATCAAGTGAATGTGTCTGACTACCTTATATGGTCAATTTTGAATTCATTATTCTGTTTATGGCCAGTTGGCATACTTGCAACAGTTATGTCGGTTATAACAAAAAAAAAGAAGGCTAATTGTGATCTTGAAGGTGCTCGAAAGTTTTCAATATTGGCTGGAGTATTCAATATACTCAGTACTCTGGGCGGTATTATTCTTTTCATTCTTATTAGTCTACATTTCAGTGGACAGATTCACCTCTCGTAATAGTGTTGTTTTATTTATGCTATGTATCCTATTCTAACAATCCTTCTCTTTCTAATCCTACTTATCGATAATAATTTTCCTTTCATTTTTAAATATCACTATTTGAAGAAAATATTCAATACGATTATAATAAAGAAATAAATAAACAGTTCAAATCAAAAATTGAACAGTTTTTCTTGTAAAACTATACATCACATTTAAAAATATCAAGTCATAAGAATGAAATGTAAAAATATTCCAATATTTAACAATTTACAAAAGCTTTTATCTTTATAAATACTAGTCAGATGCACGATATTTCTCAAAGAACTACATTCCATATTTCCCTATATATTGAAGACATGTGATGCAGATTATATTGAAACTAGAAGAATTTTGTTTTGAATATAATTTAATTATCGAAAAAGAGTACATGTATAAGATATAATTGAATAATTATTGACAATTTTTAAATTCCCACGATCAGTATAGTGACTAAGTGTATATCTTTCAATTATTGTTATTTGCATTAAAATATTTGCTTCCGACTATTATTTAGATCATCTTCAAACTGTTCTTACTTGATTATTGTTGTAATCATATCAATAGTGTTTTCTATATTTTCTTGAAGCCATTGTCTACTAACATGAGTAACTAAAAAAAAACACATCGAGACGTTCTTCTCTCCAAAGTGATATGATCGCATCAAAATCAATGATTTACGGTTTTATCGTTTAAATCTTGAAAGTGTAGGTCTGGATGTAGTCAGAAGAGTACTTATCATCACCCACACCCTCTCAATGAAAAAAGTTTGAAAACAAATCATCTCAATCAAAAATAAAGAATTATAAACGTCATAATTGTTACTAATTTCAATACTCAATACAGAATTCCATCATTATCATATTTCATTTTCGGGTAATTTTCAACTTGAACTAACGACTAATAAAAACATTCGTAGATATAAAAAGAAATAAAATAAGAGGAGTCGAATTTTTTCGTGTACTGCAGCCACTCTGTTTTCTTTCTTCCTTCCTTCCCATATGACGCTATTTATTTACACGTGCATTTTATATTATACCATGGGCGATAATAAATAGAAACCATCTTTTATTTTGCACGTTACCGAAATGAATACAGATATTTCTTCTTGTAGTAAATGTAGGTATAGATGTGAGTATGAGTATTATATCCATCACATACTCATACTTACATTCGCATCCATACGCTCGAGGGCATACGAATATTCCATTAAATAAAAATGCAAAGTTATAAGTTGAAAAACTTAAACAAAAGTGAAATCAAATAAAATTTTCAAAAATCATTTCAGCTGTTGAAATGATTCTTAATTCGAATAATATTAAAAAGTCTTCCTCACTTAGAAAAATAATCATTTAATCAATGGGAAGGACATTTTATTCATGATATACATTCTCATTTAAAAAATAATTTTAATTTAAAAATTTAATAAAACAAGAATTTTTATCATTATGGGATAATGATGCTGAAATTGATTCATTCAATATTTATTTTCAAGTCATGGTGCAGTTTTAAAATCAATTTTATATCATTTTGGTTATCAACAAGATTTTCGATGGAAAATATCAAATTGTGCTTATATGAACCTAAATATTCATGCTCATGAATAAATTTTTATTGAGAATTAAGTGGAATTAAACTGATGAAAGAACCCTAAAGTTTAGTATTATGTGTTGATAAAAGTAAATGCAAAATAAAGTTTAAGTTTTATATTTGTTATTAAATGTTTTATTATTGATTCTATTTGCGTCTTGTAATTTTGACACACATAAAGATATAAAGACCAACAAAAGCAACGCACAGAAGGAATGCAATAATACCAAAAGAAAGTTGTGCGGCTGCTAATCCAGCTGCACTTCGTATATTCGTAGAAGCACTATAAAAGCCACGATTTACTGATGATTCACTAACTCTTGCAGCATTTATTCCAAAATCAATAATCGTAAAAGCAGTAGCAGCGATAGTTACACAAAGTGCAATAAAAGCCCATAAACGAATTGATTTCATACAAACTAAACTGTATACAAAGAAAATTCTATTTTATTCAAATGAATCATTAAACATTATTTACTAAGAATAGCAATAAAAACACCAGCAGCCATAATAAATATTCCAGCCCAAATTCCAACACCAGATGCATAAACACCAGCAATACCTAAGCCAAGTTCGCCAATAAGAGCTAAAAAAATAAACAACAGAGTTGATATCTATTAATGATTGATTACTAATACATGAATATTTTAAAAATTTTCGAGGGGTGTTATAATAATGCATATATCTTCTGAGAATGAAGGAATTTGGACATTACCTATACGCTAATGAGAGATGATGACTAAAGAAATAAATGTCTTAGAGATGCCTAAAGTTTGTCTTAGCTGCAAGATTCATTTCATCTGTGACCAGAGTTAGTTCAAATAATAGGTAACGAGAATCAGATAAGCTATTTGAGACGTAGTGAAATTCAGCTATGAAGTTAGTTTTTCTGATAAATATAAATAGTGATATAAAACATACCTAAAGATGCAATTTCAAAAACAAAAAGAAGAAATCCACATAAGATGATCAAGATACCAATTATTGTAGAAACAACAGATGGCCAAAGTTCTTTCCATTGATATTCAATTGGTAATCTTCCTCCTCCTCCATAACCAATTGGACGACGACCACGAAATCGTGGACGATGTGCAAGCATTTCAGTTTTTTTTCTGTCTTGCAAATGACTTGTAAAAAGAAATATTATCAAAATATATATTATATAGGTAAATGACATTATAATATTAAAGCTGGCCATTTTTGTTTTCGTTTTTATCTATCATACAATGCGCCAAGATTTTTATCAAATAATGGTCTTCAATATCAATAGTTTTTGATATACAAAACATATATTATGTATTTCTAATTACTCTTAATATCACCAACGTCCTTGACTTACTAACACTTTTGTCATTATATCACTTCCGTTTCATCTATTTATTGCTGTCTCAGGTAAATTTCTCTAGACACACGCCTGTGGTTAAAAAAAAAGTTTTGTACCAAACTAATTACTTCCCGTTAGTGGAGGGCCCGCAGCGTAAACACAGGTATGGCAATTAGTTCTAATGCCTTACTATGATAAAAACAAGGTGTTTTAAGCATTATGAAAATACTACGTACCACTACGTATACTCATACTACAAGCGAAGCCGTTTTTTTAGGGTGGGTGTGGGCCTGGATAGGGGTGTCACTTTAACTTTAACTTTATTAGTTAAAGTGCTTAAAGTTTAAAGTTAGAACTTTAACTTTAACTGTTAAAGCAAAGTTAAAGTGACACCCCTAGGCCTGGATGTAGTCAAAAGACTACTTATCGTTACCCACACTCAGCACATCCACCCACACCCACCCATAAGAGAGAATATATCTGTAAAATTAATATTAGAATAAAACTTTTTATTGAATGAATGTGAATGTGATGGAGTTAGTTTTTATAAAGTTTAGTAGAACTATTAAATTTAATCTATTTTTTGCTTTTGTGTTCGTTTGCAACATCTTTTAAATAAATACACTACGATCAACATCGGTAGAATGATATAGATAATCATTAAATCAATCATATATCGTTGATAGAATTGTAGAGTACTTCGAAATGGTGCATATCGACTTAAATCACCCTTCAAACTGACAAACAATTCAATTTCTTTCACTGCTTGTGTTACTCCACCAGCATGTTTCATTTCAAGTGACATAATTCGAACAATTTCTTCATATGTTACATTTCTCCACATCGTCTTCAGTTTAGTTGTTACATCTGTAGTTGTAAATGTGTATTCATGATATGCAACTGGATTTTGAAAAGATCTTAATATTGATGGTCGTTGAAATAAAGATTCTCCAGCACCAGAATGTTCGATTGCAATAGCGTTTGCAAATTGATCTAGACACAATGGTAAACACAAAATAGGTTTTTGATAAAATAATGCTTCAACGATAGAACCCATTCCACAATGACTAATAAAAAGATGAACAGAATTTTGTTGTAGAATCCATTTTTGTTGAATAAATTGATTCTCAATTCGAACTCTTTGTTTATCCATTAAGATATTACGATAGTTTTCATTGGTGATTTTAGTAAGCACAGTTTCATAATATTCAGCGTTTGTATTACGAAAAGCCAATAGAATTGAACTACAATCTGTTTGAAGAAGAAACTCTGCAAGACCATAAATTAAACTTTTCATTCGATCTAAATTAACTGTTGAAACGCTACCAAATGCTACATAGATAATAGATTTTTCAGGTTTTGATTCGATCCATTTAGTCAGGTCATTGTCTGCATTCTTAATCGAAGATTCATCGATAAATGCACCAAGATATTTCGAAGAATGGGATAAATCTGATGGTAGATAGAGTGTCGGAGGAATACTATACAATGTTAAGCATTTCGATTTTGTTAACAAGATATTTTTCCATGTAAAAGTGTCGTAAAATGGTCCGGGAACTTGTGGTAACGATTGTATTAACGTTGACAATAAGCTGATTAATTTTGTAAAGACCGACGCGATCATACGTATAGTAAAGGCAATATTGTATATACGATATTTAAATGTCGATAATTGCTCTCCTGACAATAAAGAGTAACTATATGGTAGATTAACATCAAACATATTTGGATCTTTTTCTGCTAGTTGCATTACACATGGGATGTTTGCATCGTTGCAAAGTGCATGCATGCCTACGGTTAATGTAGTACCAACAATAACATCATATTGCTCTTCCATTACTAGATGTACTGTCTTGTTCATTAATCCACTTATACTATCACTTACTTCTGTTATCACATAAGCAAAATTATCAAAAGATGAATGATTTATTGCATAGTTAACAAACTCTTGCATCTTTTTCGTATGCATATCTAATGTATCCATTGAATTATTCAAATAAATAAGACGAAGTGATGATATATTTGGATGTGATTCTACATTGATATAAGGTTGAGCTTGAGCTTCAGTCACAAATGTTACATTATGATTGTGCATTCCTTTTGCTAATTCAAACAGTGGAATTACATGACCAGCTGCACCAATACTAACTATTAATACATTCAAACTAAACGTTCCAGAAAGGAATGTTAGAATAAAAAGCAATGTTGTAATAACAACCATTATCAGATGTAAAAAAACAAGAATACAACATTCAAGTAAAAATATATGGCTTATTCTTATCAATGGTTTCACCTTTGGACCATAATCAAACCAAACCAGTGATGGGTCGAAATATATTCGAATATAAAGAAATGCTGGATACTATATATGCGTAAGAAGGAAAGAAAGAAAATTTTCGTTTTGTTATTATCGTTTGTTCTTTTCTATGTTTGCAAGCATATTCGAATATCGCAAAAGTATGTCGCCTTTCTGTTGCTAGAAAAAAGTTCTCTTTCTCTTAGCGAAGGACGCCATAATCCAATATAAATAAGAATTTTTATATATTATTTTAATCATAGAGTAATCAAGAAAATAAACTATCACAGTGACAGCTACAAACTTGTGTTACCGCTGGCCATCCATATTTTACCTCGCTTAAAATAATAGTAACTGTTCAAGAACTTCATTCAATTCAATTGTGATGATAACTAGATCGAAACTAACATTAATTCTATGGTTTTCATATTAAAAAAGGTATTGTTTTTTATTTGCTTCTTTTCAGCTGGGTATTCAGTATTATCTTTCGAAAATAACACAACAGTATTACCTTCTTCAATTACCAACACTCCTAGACGAACAGTCAAAGCGAAGGGCATTGTAGTATAGAGATATTTCAAATTCGTAGATAAATCTTTTGACGCTGAATGTATTTTATGTTTATATATTGTTCCTCGTACATCAACATCAACTTCAAATCTTTTGCATCATATTCAAACTGGTTCAGTAGAATAAATTTATATATTTTAATGTGTTTTTTTCATCTCATTTCTTTATTCGTTAATGTTTGAGAATATATTAAGAAATATTAATCTGCGTATGAAGAACATCTATACAAATTAATAGCAAAGACTAAAAATATTATTTATTATACTAAAAATGAAAGATTATTCATACTTTTATTTAAAAGCCTATGAAATTCATTCCTTCAATATTATGCACTGATTGCGCTAATGAATAGTTTAATGTTTTAGGAAACATCAGTGCACGAATAACAGCAGTAAAGGATAAACTACCATATCAAAGTATTGAAAGATGATTTCATAAACATAGGACGATGTGAATGTCGGTATGAGCGTTCATTTAACTTCTGCTATACATTCATGTATATTCACACCCACACCCATTTACGACTTTGTCAGCTGTTCAATCGTCTGATAACTGATAGATTTTACTTAGAAAATATAAATGCGAATATGGATGCGACTTGAATCTTTATCTCATAATCACATCTACATTGTGCTTTATATTTATAAGTTATTCTCTTATTCCTACGTCGCCTTTTCTGTTTCTTTCATTCTTTTTTTTTAATTTTCTTTTTCTTTTAAAAAGTGTCTTTCA